ACATCCGGGAGGGATGAAGCATCCCATCGGCCAGCCTGTGCCGACGGCTAATTTAGCTGTGAGCGAGGTCTCCTCCCTGGAGCCCTGTCCTGATCCACCCGGCACTTCAGGAAGGTACCGCAGCGGAGTCGCCAAAAAAGTTGTGGAGTGTTTCAGACTCTGTCCCCTATGGCTTTCAAAGGGGGGAATCAAAGGGAAACGCTGCGCTTTGTTCTGCAGGGGAGCGGCACGAAAGGTGAGTGGCAGCGGGCCCGGCAGAACCGGTCGCTTCAATCGTCCTCCAGCTCACCTTTGAAGTGGTTTTAAAAATCAGGGAGGAGGGGCAGAGACCTGAGTTCAGCTCTTTTGCTGCAACTTCACAGAATTTGAGGACGTGGGGGGTAAGAGGCCACCTTTCCCCCACCAGAAAAATAGCATATCTGTTCAGAGGGAATAGAATATGGCTAATAAAAAAGGCTGCGATACTCATGAAGTACATCTTTTGTGTCCTCACGTCCTGAGGAGGCTACGAACGGCTACGATGGCAGTGGCAGCATCTACCTACAGTACCGACAGAGGCATAGCCAAGCATCTGCAGGATTAACCAGGCACACTGACACAGCCCCCAGTCCGGTGCTGATGGAGCAACCGACTCTCACCAGTCCACAGCCTCCTCTCTGCCTTGCGTTCCCTCTCCTCCCGCCTGCCCGTACTTTCCCCACTGCCTCTCTTTAACAGAAAGGACTGGCTTTAACCCCGGCCCACGCAAATCCTGGGAGCTCTTTCTATATTGTAGTCACAGCATCAGCCACTTGCTGCAGCACGGGGAATCGAAGCAATGCCAACACAGCGGGAGTGGCACTGTGGAAGGACAAGCCAGGCGCCTACCGTACACCCCGTACTAGGAAGATGGGGAAAAGTACCAATTAGTTCATTGGAAATTAATCTCTGTTCTACCACAGAAATATTTTTTATATAAAGAACACAGTTGATTGGCATGACCAGTATTCACAAGCCCAGAGTCCCCCCAAGCCCACTGAGCTTGCTTCTAAACAAACACCATCAGCTGGGCAAAGACAAGATAGGAGATGATACCCTCCTATCACCACGGACAAGCAGATGTCACTGTACAAATTCAAAGCTTTCAGGGGCTGTGGAATACAAGAGCCATTCGAGCCAGACTTGAACGACAACTCTGAGTCAGAAGCCAAGTTATAGAGCTCCCCTATCTTTAGGGGAGAGAGCGAGCTCGGATCCAACATCTTTCAAGAAACAGGAGCAAATCTAGTTTCTCTGGCTTGCCGAGAAGACCTCGCACAACACGTTCACACACACACATGAAGCCATAAGCCTGGCCGAAGACGTCTACGTATGCCTCACGCGCACACGCAGAAACGCACATGCAAAAGTCAGACACCCTGAGAAGCAATTGAGCATATTCGCAGTTACGTCTCGAATCTGAAATGTCTTTTCTCTTGATTTGCAAACAAGTCTTAATCTAAAACGCCAGGAGATGGCAATCAACAAGGAGAGAGAACTGCGCTTGCCCCCTGACCCCAACCCGCATCCTTACAAAGCTTCCCCGGAGTTCTTGTGGTTATGAGGTGTGTGGGAGCAGGTGAGACCGGTTTTCAGTAAAACTATCCCATCAATTGGCTTCCGTGCAGGTAACACTCACCTGAAAAAAGCTGGCTTTGAAGAATCCAGACCTGAGCCAAGACACCTCCAGCTTGCCACCTCTCTACATTTTCAGCTCCGTTCATGATGCAGACAGAGATGCTGGCTACTTTGACCTTCTGCACATGTCAGCAGGTTCTCTTCTAACTTCCGTTTCACCTTCCGAAGCTAGAGGGGGACCAAAAAATGGGATGGCTTTAGGAGACAAGTGTGTGCTTCTGGTTAAACCGTAGGGCATAAGGAATCATCAGTCCTACATTTTATTTGCCACAAATTGGCTCTATCAGTCTGATCAAGATCCCTCTCCCCTGGGAAAGCAGGGGTGGCAAGACAGAGCTCAGGGGCTATGATGCTTTCACCCAGAATACACAGTATACAAACTGACGGGATTGGGATTCAGCAACTGAATGGCCAAAGGCAAAATTAAGGCCTTTTAGCCTTTTCTTAGACTTAAGGGAAAGGTCCATGGTTGCAACCATATCTATTTAAAACATTCTTAGGCTTTAAGCTGGAAACCAACACTTCTGCTCCCGGTTTTGCTAGCTTCATTGCACAGACTGGGCAGACCACAGGGCTCATTTCCCTGCTTTACTTGTTTGTATTACAGCAGGGCCTCAAATCTCTACCAGAAAGAAGTAAATGTTATCACATGGGGGAATGCTTTCCATCCCTGCAGCAGAGGCAGGAAATATTAGCAAGCTCTTTTCACGTCTTTTTTTTGGGGGGAGGGTCTAAGTACAGCTGTTCAGGGCTTCTCTGGGTGGAGCACTATATTATATTATGTTATATCCTATCCCTCCCCTTCCCTTGTGTTACTTACCAGTTCCACAGACCAGTACAGCCTTCTCCGAGGACACAGAAACCTGGGGGAAGATGGGAGAAAGGAAACTCTAATCAGCTGCAGCCAGCTGCTGCTAGCAGCCCTGGAAGGTCTGCAGCTGTTTCTCGTCTCCTTCATTGCTCTGTAGTAGCCTTTGCTGGATAGCCCCCACCTAACTCCGGGGGCACCAGCTCTGAACCGGCTACAGGTGAATTCAGTTGCGCCCTGCAAAATGCCAGCTCACACGGCCTCTTGTGGCCAAGCCACACACTCCAGTTGTCCTCCTGCAGCTCTGCCAGGCTGCTCTTCCCAGGGTGGCTCCTGGAAAGCGGCACAGACAACGGTGTCCTTCCCCTGGACGAGTCCATCCCCAAATATTCTTTTGTCTTTTTTTCACATCGGTGCCTCACACCTTGCCCCGCTTGCTTTTCAAAAGACACACTTGGCAAAAGAGCAAGCAGGTCAAGATGCTTCATCCGCATGCAAGGTCTAGCTATCGCAGAACTTCTTTTACCCCCAAAAAATACTTACGCGGTTCTATGATTATTAACATAACTGCATCCAGTCTAGCGACTCTTGTGCAAGTTTATTGTTGAAGTACCAAAGGTTATGTGGGTAGGTGAGGCATCAGTGGAGGGTGCATGTAGATAATCACAGGCTTAATGAATTACTATGCCTCAGCTGATGCATACACCACCGTGTGAGTTTCTCTCCAGATAGAAAGGGGAAAGCAACTTTGTGGCGCGACAGGTCGAGTGATACCTGGTAAATTATTAAACTATAGTAGGTGGATTGTTTGCAACACATCTCAAGTCAAATACCAGGCTCCAGTTTCAGGAAGGGGAGGGGATTTTGATTGGGACGCGCTCAGACTTTTTTTGAGGAAAGCAGCCAAGCGAGCAGGTCCTGCTCACACCTGAGGAATCTGATGGGGAGCATGTCGTCTCAGCTAACGACTGAACTTTGTCACACAAGGGTGGAAAAAGCAGTGCGACAAGTCTTTTGCATGTAAGCAAAAGCAAAGCCATACTGGCTTGATATTTGTGAAATGCCTAACAAGAACTAAGCAAAACTTAATACAGTACAAACTATCATACCTGCTTTTATTGAAGAGGCAAAACTGAGCATGCCAGATCCTTCTCTGCCTTTTGAAAGTTACCTTTTCAAGAAAAGCTTGGTTTGATGTTTGACTTTTTTTTCCAACAGCCCATCTCAAAAGATGCAAATATGCAAAGGATGAGCATAGCGACAGCAAACAGCGCAGGAACATTTGGCCCAAACCACCGCAGAGCAAGCCTGCAGTTGGGGAAAGCGTCTTACCCTTTTCTTTCATCACGCAGAAAAAACCCGAACAACTTGAAGCCAAACCTTTGGCGCAAGGGTCACGGAATTCACTTTTAAGCCAAGATTCTCCCAACACCATGATGCTAATGTCATGGCGCAATCTTTTCCAGCAATTGCCAAAACCAGCCTCTTTCTGTCTGTCTCCCTGCTACAGACTGGCAGCAAGTCCCTGATGCACTCCTCCGCTACGAGCATAACCTGTGTCCTCCTACAAAATGGTCAACATATGCAGTGAGTCTGAAATCTAATTGCCTGCTGGTACTAAGCCAAAGCTTGGATTTTGATTTGTAGATACTCCGTTTCCACCCATGCCACCTACCTCCCCTGCCCCCCGAGCGGAAGAGTGATGGTGAGTGGGCGAATAAGGATGAGGATGTATTACAATCACCCTTTAATAGCACAAACCACATCGCTTCCTTCGTCATACCTGGGACAGATTAGGCAGGGGCCGTGTGTGAAAGATATGGTTGAAGAAACAAAAGCAATTCAGGAAGGCGCAGAGTTTAGATTGCGTCTTCAAGCTGCACAAAACGTTTCTAAGAGACACGCTGTGAAAGCACGCCCAGTATCTGCTTAACCAGGCTCCTTTTCCCCGATTGTGGTACCCCCTCAGTGTTTTGCCTGGGCTGATCTAAAGCAGTTCCCAGCTGTGAAACCTGCAACTTCCAGGCAAACAGGGCGAGGGAGCTCCCCGGTACCTGCAAACACATCCCGAGCACTCTCTGCATCCCTCAGAGATCCGTCCTGCTTCCAGAGACATTCGGGTTCTCAGATCGGGGAAGTCCACTGCAGAGCATAGGTAACACTGTGATTTCATCAGAAGCAGAAAAAAAAAAAATGTTAGCCTAATGAATACAGGAATGGCTCATTTATCAAGGCTCTAGCAATGTAAACGGGCAGAAAACAGAGCCTACCTGGTGCCACCTATCTTCTTCTCAATCAGCTCGCTTACTCCACCAATATGGACCATTTACTCACTGGAAGGGGCTTTAATAGGTATTTAGAAGTGTGAAACAGAGACCAGCCTTTCACCCACCTGTGTGATATCCTTTTTAAAAAAAAAAAAATGACATCAACTCTCCCAGCACACAGAGCACTGCAAGCTCGCAGGATTCTTTGTGCCACCCTTGCAGATCCCACCACGCTCAGCACCCGGAGATTACTTTGCCATACAAAGAAAATGTACTTGAGTTTTCAAAACAAGTCATTTTGGGAAAGCCTGCATTTAAAAAATGGCCTTGAGGACTGGGATATGGCAGAGGAGCTCAAACTCGCCATCACTACTGAAGAGTTTCTGCAAGGTAAGGGCCTCAGGGGGATTGACTGACTTGGCTTCCTTTTAAAAAGATTCCTGTCTCCAAAACTCAGGTGAAAATTGTAAAGTCTGGCAAATAGTAAGTTCCAGTCTAGAAGTTAACAAAAAGCCCATTTTCTTTATGTTTAAATATGATCAGATCAAATTAGCAGCATCTGCAATCACATACAAAGTGAGCATGCAGCTTACAGAAAATGAGGCTAACACAAAAAATATAAGCTCACCGCAGTGTCTCTGGGCTCCCCACGTCTACCAGCTCTTGACGAGACCCTGCGCCGTCGCACGCTGAAGTGGCAAGCTGACCCCCTGGCACACGGGTGCTCGCTGCCGGGAGCACTGCCAGATGCCAGGGATAAGTTTGGGACCTGGTACTACCTACAGAGGCTGGCGGTGTTTCAAGGAATCTCCTGGGAAAGGGGCTTTTCTTTTGCCAGCCGGAACATTTGTGTCCAGACTGGAATTTTTCTAAGCTTACGCAGAAAAAGTTGAAGCCCGTCTCTCAAGGACAAGGATATAATTACATAGCTGTGCCTGGAGACACACTTCCCTCCGAATGCAACCTTTTGGGTGGATAAACTTGAGAAAGGAGGACTGAAGGGAGTAATTTACACTCTTCTGGCTCTGCAGGGGAAAGAGAAAGTAAAATTTCAGAGCTGAGCACCGTTGTTCGGGCTGGCCGCAGCAGTGCAAGAACACGCAGACATGCACGCTCTATGCAAAACAGGAAATAAAACACTGTTTAGAGGGATGAGAAGGCAACCGGGGACCTTTGCCTTGGGATTTGCATTGCATTAGAGCTTCCCCAGGCTGCCTCTGGACAGCAGGGTCTAGAAACAGTCCTCAGCTAGGACCAGCAGGATGACGTTTCTCCTTCTCCTTAGAACCTGGCGTTCAGCCCCATCTGTGGATGTGGGTAAACCCCAGCCTGGTCTGCCCCATCCCCAGGAGCCCTGGCGTAGGCCCGGCCGGATCCGACAGCCCCGTGGCCTTGGTTGCTGGTGCCGCAGAAACCTCCTCTCCGAACACATCCTGGGACTACTCTGATCCGGACTGCTCCGAGGAGGACGTGCTGTCATCCTCCAGCGAGGCTGGAAAGGTATAAAAAAGGGAACCGCTTGGGCAGTCCTAGGCATTGTACGTGCTTAACGATCCCACAGGAACAAACGAGCTGGCTCAGCAGCTCCGCAAGTGGTTGCCTCCCATTTCAGCAGGGGTCAGTCAATGCATGGAGCCCATCTGACAAACAGGTTGAGAGTACAAAGTGCAGGGAAGGAGGCTGAAATTTGAAGCATATAAGCTTTCTATACGCACCCTGCCAGACCCACCCTCCCCCGGAACAAAGCAGCTTATCCCTGTCCCTCATTCCACCCAGGGCTAATATATCCACATCCTCTCTGCAGCTTACTGAGGATGAAGACGCTTCGCATGTGGACATCCCAGTTCCTCAGGAGATGCCGGAAACTCCCATACTCGAGGCAATGCTGATGCCTCGGGAATCCGCAGTCCTCAGACCTCAGAGCGTGAAGCTCAAGTGCCCCAGGCAGACGAGCACCAAAATCGAGGGACGCTGGCCCCGTCCCCCCCTTAATTACTGCATCCTCATCACCCTCGCCCTGTGCAACAGCGCAAGTGGCAGTCTGACCGTACAGCAGATCTACCAGTTCACACGGTACCCGCTCTTCTCCCAGCTCCTAGTGCAGAATGAGGGGTACAGGAGTCTCTGATCTTCTACTGGGGAGCAGGGATGTGGCGGCCAGGACTTGCGTTCTGGTCTTAGCTGTGCCTTCGGCTCAGGATGCCGCTGAGAAAACTGCTTCCCCTCTTTGTCAACATGCAAACCCAGGAGTCTCGAGAGCCGGCGTTTTAGTTTTGTCTTACCCTCCTTAGAAAAAACAGAGTGCTCAACTGCGCCAGCCATCCTTACACCACAGGGGTCAGGGAGGACCCTCTCCTCCTTCTCTTGCTCGGACATGATGTATTCTGTTATTTGTCACAGCCTCTAATTGCTTCAGCTCAGGACAAATCTTTTCTCTCCACAGGCAGCACTTCCCATTTTTTCAAACAGCCCCAGAGGGCTGGAAAAACACAATCCGACACAACCTGTGCTTCAGCAGCTGCTTTGAGAAAACCACTGGCTTCGTGTGCAGTGAGGGAAACCGCAAGTCCTGCCTGTGGAAACTGACCCCAGAAGGACGCAGAAAGTTTCAGGAGGAAGCACAGGCTCTGCCCAAAGAGGCTCTCGACTTGGTGCGCCGAAGCATGAGCGAACCGGGTACGTTTCAGAGGGCAGGAGCCCCACAAAATGCTGAGCGGGTCAGACTCTACAAGATTCCCATGGTGGGAGGGATACAGGTGGGCACCCGAGCCAGTACGCAGTCACCAGCACTGCGGGACACTAGGTCTAGGAGATGATACCAGACACTCGGAGATCCCTGTAGTGATACCCCCAACAAGCAGGGCTTGGTCACCAGACCAGCCAAGGACCCTTCTTTAATGAAACCAACATAGCAAGAGAAACAAACCAGGCTACATCAAAACGCAGAGCCTTCATCTCAGTATCACGTTGCTCAGCAATACAACACCTATCAGTTTAATACGGATAAGAACTGAGGCTGTAGCATCAGTGCCCGAGCAGTCATTATGGTCCAAGTAACTATCGCAGCTTCCTCTCTCTGTATCTTTTGCAGAGCTCATGAGATCTCTGTTTGGCCTATGATTCCTTCTGGTTTCCTGCTTCTGAAACACGTACCACGTGTTTTCAAACCAAGCTTGTTTTCTCAGGTGCTGCCGCAGGTAGTTTCCCAAGAACTGCGTGTGGAAATTATGAGCATCGTGACATAAGGACTCAAATTTAGAAGGGGGGGAGGAGAAAGATGACCGATCTCATTTCCCTCACAGTAAGGCAAGTTTTTGTTCCAGCTGCACGCATCTCAAGTTGCAGAGGCATTTCGACATGTGGCACCCGCTACAACTTTAACACAAAGTCCTCCACGCAAGCTGTTGCCTCTTGCAATGTTCTTGTGGTGCAGAGGATTAAGCTGCCGGAAAAGGCTGATCTGTTACCTAACAAAGGGTCTCAGCCCACAGGTCGGAGGCTGAGCAGAGAACGCATTAGTGGGCAGAGTGAGAGGAACCCCCTACCATACAGACGTTATTCCAAGCTGTTGCACTTGCCCGCCCAGCTGTAAAACCAGCAGGCAAGGATTCACGTAACTGCTGGGCAGGCTGCTTTGCAAGGTGCTTGGAATTTCTGCAACGCTCACTTGGCAGAAATCAGCAAGCACTGCAGAGTGCGAGGAGGGAGAGAGTTATCTTGGAGAGGCAAGGACGCAACAAAGAAAAAAAACCAAAAACAATCAGAGCTTGCTGTTGCGTTGTTGACTTACTTGCTTCTCTAGCAAGAGGCAGGAAAATCACGTCCCCAGGCCAGAATTCAGGCAGGTAGCAGGTGTCTAGTGTTCAAGAAGAGTAGATTTTTTCATACCTTCTCCCTGGCTGCTGCGGCAGTTGCTTGAGCAGAAGCATGATCGGTCCAGTTATGTCCATTATCAGTCCGGTGTGCAGCAGGAGCCGGGGCGCCCTGTCGACAGGGGACAAACAGCACACAGTCATGATGCAAGTTCTGGAGTTCACTGCTGGGTTGTATCCTAGACCTGACCCACAGGGAGAGGATGCCAGGGGCCAGCCCATCCGAACCTGCTCGACAGGGCAGGCTGGCCGCACCCTGGAGATCAGATCCTTTCACCTGTGTGCCCACGAGAAGGTAAAAGAACAGACACGTTAAAATTGACTTGATCAAGTCTAAATGCACGCGCTGGGATGGTAGCTTCCCTGACTAGCGCACAAACCACCACGCAGGGTGGGTCTGCGCAGCTGGGTGCTAATGTCACCTGAGCGACTGCAGAAGTCAGGGAGAGACGGATGGCTGTCAGTCCCACACGTGACAGTGCAGGCTGGCTGGCTGAGCAGGACCTGATTTAAGGTGAATGGTCTTTGAAGGCCTGGCTGCACTGGATGGCAGCACTGAGATAACCTTGATGCTGCAGTTCAAATGCTCTCCTGCAATCATGCCAGACTAGACCATGAGTATCCTCAGCTCTTACTAAATTTAAAAAAAAAAAAAAAAAAGGGCAAAAAAACCACCTAAGATTTTGGTAGAGCTGTGGATGGGCAGGAAAACAAAGATGTCAGGCCAATGCTACCAGACAGACCGTGTCGAAAGGCAGTTCGGTGGAAGGTCTGTGCGTTTCAGGGATGTCCGACGCCCCCAGAGAGCGTTCATCATCATAAACGAAAAAAGTGTGAAACCAAAACAAGTTTCAGACAGGCCGGGAGAGCATGGCGCTTGCCACATGCACGTCCCCACGTGGCATCAGGTGGCGGGGCACCAAGTAAAATGCCAGCTTGCTATAAAGAAAAAGGCATAGGTTTTCCTGCGCCCCTCCACTCTGAACAGCCTGCAGCGGGACTTAGCCACCGCCGGCACTGGGCCCGCACCG